TCATGAAGGAGTTGACGAGAAAGCTTGAGCAGAAAGCACCGCCGGTGAGGAGGGCACCACGCTGGCTGGGTTGCTTCGTGGCGCCAATGGAGACGCTGGTAGTGGACAAGGATGTCCCCTTTGAGATTAGAGTATGTGCTTGGTTCAAACTCATCAAGCTATGGGGTTCGATGAGATTTGACGACGCAGCGCACCTGAAGATGTCGGAGCTGAAGTTCTATGATGGTCAGCTGACGGGAATGATGCACCAATCCAAGACAACTGGTGCGGGCAAGCGCGTCAGGGAACTCCCTATCTTCATAGCAAGGGATTCCTATGTGCTCCAGGACGACTGGCTGGCAGTGGGTTATGACCTAGTCAAGCTGCAGATGCCACGAGAGAGAGTTTTCCTGTTCCCCGAGGGTTGCTTCTATGGCACGAGGTATGGGACATCGCATGTCTCATACGCGGAGGCAGTGGCTGGAAGTTCAAGGGCATTCGCATTGCTGGAGGGGTACCATGGTCCCCTTATCCCCTCGGGCTGGGAAAGGTTCTGGTCAGAGCACAGTGAGAGGGCAACATTGCCCAGCGGGCTGGCAGCGCTTGGAGTGGAGAAATCGAGCAGAGACCTCTTGGGCAGGTGGTGCCCTGAAGGGTCTGATGTATACGTTCGTACATACAACACCATCGTCAAGAAGATGCAGCAAAAGATCGTGGCAGTGTTGCGGGGCGAGGCGGCTTATGAGGTGCTTGATGAAGGCTCCATCATGGAAGAGCTCAAGACCTGGTTGCATGAGAAGTGGACAGTCCCAGAGGACCAGGCTGAGAAAGTGGTGGAGGCATGGAAGGACAAGCTCGGAGTGAGAGGAAGACCGCCAGCAACAGTGCAAGTGTCGGATGAAGACACCACGATCTACGACGGATCCCAAAGTGAGAAGGAGATGGGAGACCAGGGCGAGAAGGACCCGAAGAAGAGGAGGATCACCGAGACCCTTGAGGAGGAGAGAGAGGGGAACTATGTGGTCGTTTACAGGCGTGCCGGACGGGGCACGCTGCATCGGCTTGGGGCTAAGGGCTGCTGGATGGCGAAGAAGCGGCTCTTCGTGAGGTCTGAGGTCCACGAGGAGCTTCCGGAGCCCGAAGAATACACACTCCGATGCAAGCTGTGTTGGGGTGGAGGAAGCGAGCCGTTGAGCGAGTCCACAAGTGATTCGCGAGACGAATTGAGTCTCAGCGATTGAAAAGGGATCGTTTGAGCCGCAAGGGTAGGCAGTTGAAGTGAGTTCAATTGCACCTGGGTCGCACCCAGGGACGGACATGTGTGCCGCAGTACACGTAGATAGCCTAGGTCGCACCTGGGAATTGCCACTGGTAGGAGGTAACAGCAACCCTGGGCCGAGCGCGCCGCTCAGGCTCAGGGTCGGGGCGCAGCAAGCGCAGAGCACATACCAGTGGAGGAGAAGGCTGGGGCGCACCACAGACCGAGGGAACATTTCACATCGCATGTGAACGGGTTTGCGCATAGCATGCGCTTGAGGACACCGCTGTGTCAATAGCAGCATCGCATGCTGTGTGCCTGATCGGTTCAAGCAGGGGAGGCGGGGCGCTCCGGAGCGGGCGTCAGCATGCCACGGGCGGTCATCTCGGAGGCCGAAGGGAACAAGGCGCTTGAGGCTGCAGGGACGGACATCAAGTACCTGCTATCGAGGCATGAGGTCAGCGTTGACAATCAGAAGCTGTTCTTCCACCATGGAGTGACCACCATAGAGAAGCTCTCGAACTTTGCAAAGGACAGAGATGATTTGGCAGCAGTTCTCAAAGAGCACTGGGAGCTGGACTCGGACAGATCACTGGAGGAGAGGGTGCAGGTGGCGGCAATCACCTGCGCCTTTAGCAATGCAAAGACAAGGAGTCAGAGGGCCGCAGAGGTCGACGCAGAGTACGACACACTGCAGTGGTCACGGCCCGTAGTGGCGGGAGAATGGGCGGCAATGCGCTCAGCATTGGAGAAGAGGTACGGCCACTTGGAGGACAAGATCTACCCGCCGAAAGAATTTGTTGAAAAGAAGTTGGCGGAGGTTGAAAGTGGTGAATATCGGGCTGAGGAGCTTACAGAAGTTGTGTCAAAAGAAGAAATCGAGCCCGATGGGGTCGTGCCCATTTGGGACTCCAAGGGCCGTCTGGCCATGCGGAAGGCATCTACGAAGGTGCAAGAACCGGCAAACGCTGAAGAACTTCGTCGGCGACTGACTATTTGGAAGAATGCCATGGTTATGATCTCGCTGAAGCACTCGAACCGGCATGAACTACAAGGTGCTTGGGAAGAGACGGTGGAGCAATACAAAGATTATTTGTTGGGTGACTATGTCTATGGGTTGAGTGCCAAAGACGCTGAGGGCCAGACCTTTGCTGCGCCACCATGGAAGTTGGTCATAGCCTATGAGAGAGCCATCAGGAAGCAAGCAGTCAAGCTCACCAATACAGAAGGCAAGCCCCTGACCGTGGCACTCAAGATGGCATGGAAAGACGCAACAGTGAAGGAGAGGAACTTCACAACCCCTTTGGCATTGTATGCAAAAAGGCCGACGCCGCCGTGGAGGGAGCAGCCAGTGCAGAAGTGGGCCGCTACGGAGAAGGGCGCCAAGGGGAAGGACAAGGGCAAAGGAAAGAAAGGCAGGGGCATGGGTGGCAGTCCGCACTGTGCAACACATACTCCAGACGGAGAGCTGATCTGTTTTCGTTACAATACACCTGGAGAAAAAATGCAAGATGGCCAAGTGCAAATATCGTCATGTGTGCGGGATTTGCTACAGTGACAAACACCCCCCTTTACGAATGCAATCCGAAGAACCGGAAGGAAGCAGGGGCTCCCGACACGGACGGGACAAAGTGAGGACACTTGAAAGTCCTCTATATCTTTTCCGGGAGGAAGCGCCGCAATTCAGTGGCTTGGTACCTCCGGGAGCTTGCACTACGAAAGGGTGTTCAGGTGGAGATCACCGAATTGGACATCCAGTCTGACAGACGATCGGACTTCACAATCCCCGCTGTACAGAAGAAGTGGCTTCAGTTGATTGCTCAAGGCATCTACTACGCTGTTATCGTGACTCCACCCTGTTCGACCTTTTCGAGAGCAGTGTGGGCGAATGATTTGGGGCCTTTCCCACTGAGGAGTTCCACCTACCCGAGAGGGTTTCCATGGAATAGGGCTGATCGGTTTCACAAAGCAGAATTTGGGACGATTCTGGCAGACTTCTCTTTTGAGGCACTGAAGCGTCAATTTGCATGCGGGCGGCGCATAGGGTTGATGGAGCAGCCTGAGGACTTGGGCAGGACCAACTATGAGAGAATTCCAGGCCATCAACCGGCCTCGATGTGGCAGTTTTGGCAGTTTCGGCAGCTTCTTGAGCTTCCAGACATTCAAACTGTTGTATTCGCCCAGTCTGACTTCGGTACAGAGTCGCCCAAGCCTACGAGGTTTCTGTTGCGAATTTTTGCACCTTTACATGCAGCTATGCATACAGGCCTGCCACAGTTTGATGAGCATGGATGGTATCTTGGGCCTCTCCCTCGGCAATCAGGGGGGCGCCCCCCTGATCGGCAAGTCGAAGGGAGTTTTCCGTACGGCACAGTCGGCAGCATGGCCTCCACAGTTGTGCAAGTGGACTGCTGAGGCTATTCTCACCTCCTTTCTGCAAGAGTGGGAAGGGGGGGGGTGAGATCAATTCCACTCCAACTTCGAGGAAGAGACGATGTGATGAGGATCCAGCTGGGGTTGAGGCACTTGAGACATTTTCGGCTTCGAAGAGAAGGCGTTTGGAGGAGGACCGGCCCGTGCCCGGAGGGCATCCGAAGGTGGTGGATCCGATGAACCCGCCAGTCCCTGGGGGGGCGGGGACCCCCGAGGGCATGTCGTTGGAAGGGGCTGGAGGCATCATTCCACGATGGAGGTGGGTTATCTTCGCCAGGGAGGTGGCCACCAGAGAGGAGGATGAAGCTGGAGGGCAGAGAATGGGTGATGGTGAGACACCACATTTTGTTAGCGGCTGTGAAGCGCTTGGGGAGTGTGGCGGAGGTCGAGAAGGAGGCCTCTAGGATGGCAAGAGGAGGAGACTCATTCCAGCTCGTCAGAGAAGAGGCCTTTCTGCAAGAGATCAGGGACATCCTCGCGGAGAAGTTGGACATTCCGAGGCAGGAGCGCCCGGAGGAAGGGCAGCCATTCTTCCTTGACACCATGAAGGGGGTACTTCAAAGAGCTGGGGACCCGGACTGGGAGTTCCTAGAGCAGGCGAAGACAGGCCTGCCCCTTGGTATACTCCATGAGATGCCAAGGACTCCTGCAGTCTTTGAAGAGCAGGTGAAGTGGAGCCTGGAGGGTGATGGCTGGGGCAGTGCAGTATGGCAGAAGGACAACTATGCTTCGGCTGCCGAGCACGAAAAGTACTTGGTTGAGCATCTGGAGCAAGAGGTGGCTGAGGGGCTCATGGTGAAGATGAGCGAGGAGGACTTTGTCCGTACTTATGGCAAGAATCGTGCTGTTGCAGCGTTGGCAGTTTTGGTGGAGGACGAACTGACAGGCAAGAAGCGTGTTATTCATGATGGCACGCATGGTGTCATGGTGAATCACCGAATCAAGTGCAGAGACAAGGTTCGGATGCCAGGACCCCGAGAGAAGCGCACCTTGCTGGAGGAGTATGGGGCTGACCGTGCGGCGGTCTTGTCACTGGTTGGCGATTTTGCAAAAGCACATCGGCGTTTCAAGTACCTGAAGGAGGAGCATGGGTTTTTAGCATGCAAGGCAGCCACCCGGTCGAGCACTGTCTATGTCAACCAGGTGGGCACCTTCGGTATCGCCTCAACACCGTACTGGTGGGCGAGATTGAGTGCAGCCCTGATGAGGCTAGTGTACTGGGTTTTGGGAGGTGATTTTCCCAATGACATGTTGCTGTACGCTGATGACCTGGAGGTGCTTGCTATAGGTCGTCAAGGGAGGATTGGTGGAGTGTTGGCCTATGCAGTTATGGCCGCTCTTGGTGCACCCTTCAAGTGGGCCAAACAACGAGGTGGCCTGGTGACAGAGTGGATCGGCTTGACCACGGACTACCAGTCCTTCTCCATGGGCCTCTCGGTGAAGAGGACGGGCTGGGTCCTTGAGTGGATAGCTTCTTTGAGGAGGAGGAAAGAGGTCACTTATCGCGAGTTTGCTGCAGGTCTTGGAAGGCTGGGCTTCTCTGCACTGGCCCTCCCCTGGGAGAGGCCTCTACTGGGTCCTTTGTATGCGTGGGCCTCGGCAATTCAAATGAATCGGGGTGCGATGACCATTCCTTGGGCTATCCAATTCATCTTGGACTGGATTGCCAAGAGGCTCAGGGCCGGAGGCCACATGGAGATTGTCAAGCAGCCTTCAAGACAAGGGGGGGAGGTCCCTGAAGATTTGGACAGACGCCAAGGCGACAGAACAGGCGGCTTGGATAGGGGGATGGCTTGAAGAGTGTGAGGACAGCAAGCGATGTCGCTGGTTTTCACTGCAGGTCACAGAGGTTAGCGCCCCCCTGGCTTTACTATCGGGGAAAGAACCCGAAGCGAGTTATTGCTGCATTGGAATTGCTGGCGACTCTGGTCGCTTTGAAACTATGGCTGAAGAGTGCAGGAGATTCAGCTGAGGTGTGTGCAGAGGCCTTCACGGATAACCGGGGCAACGCCTTCATCCTGAAGAAAGGGCTCTCCACAAAATACCCTGTCACGTTGCTTGTGATTGAGGTGGCGGAGACACTTCGAAGATGTGATGCCTTCGCAACCCTCACTTGGGTCAGGAGAGACGGGAACGAACTGGCTGATGCTCTGACCAATGAGGACTTCAGCGCCTTTGATCACCAGAGGAGAGAGGCAGTAGAAGAAGGAGGGCTCCAATGGCACGTGATGGACGAGCTATTGAGGGGCAGTGAGGTGCTTTTCAATGAGATCAAGGAGCACAAAAAAGAAGAAACAGGATGACGGGCCAAAGCTGAGCCTAGCAAGGAAGAAACCGAAGAAATACTTCAGTCGTTGGAAATCCTGACTGAAAGCGGGATGGTCTGCCCTAAGACGCTCTTAGGGCAGCCGGCAGGAGACATATCCAACCGACTGAAAAAGAACGCTTTGAGCTTG